AAAAAGAAAAAGAGAGGGGGGGGGGGGGGAATAGCTCACTCATCACGTTCTGCATTTTTTTTTCTTGACACAGAAAATGGTAAAAGAAGCCTTCATAAGAGGTTTCCACCTCGGACTGCTTATGATTTGGCTTACTTTTCTCCTGAATTTTGTGCTCCTGAAAAGTAAATCTGCAACATCCAAAACTTTGACTGCTCTCGCTTGCTGATTTGCTTGCAACTACACTCCTTATTTTGTACTGCATTGCCAGGAGTAGTCATTTGGGATTGGGTGCAAAGACATGTAGTTGCTGGCATAACGCATCACCACAAATGGAACAACCACTTGTAATTGCAGCAGCAATGTGGAGATGTAGTTGCTGAATTTACTTGTTCTGTAGCAGAAAGGCAAGGGGTCTTTTTCTCTGAATTGTTTAAATGCTATGTGATATAAATTAAGCTAGAGTTTACTTTGTGTCTTGTTTGCACCCTTGCTGTGGTGGAAAAGGCGTTCAACTGAAGGAGAAATGAATGCCTCTGTCATGTAGACATTGCATAGCTAGAAAGATCACATGGAAGGTCCTCTGCAGTAACTGGTGTCTCCTGTGTTGAAGAGGGTACAGTGACTTTAAGGCGTTGTGATCAGATCTAGCAAGTCTATTTTCTCCTTTAAAATTGCTAAGACTATTTAGCTTCATCAGCTGCAGAGCTCGAGTCCTGCCACTGAAATTACTCAATGAGGGGAAAAGAGCTCTCTACACAGATACTAAAGGATACACCTCCAAAAATCTGACACATAGGAAGCTCCTAAAATGAGCTTGGAAACAAGCTCGTGAGTACTTAGTGTTCTGACCTATACTGACTTTCAAATAAGCGCTATCCAACAGCTATAGTATTTGTTCTAAAGTATGTCTCTAATTAGTTTGCAAGCAAGGCATGCTGGTTTGAACAAATCAATGTTATATGAAATAAGTATTTCCTTAGAGGATTTTCAGACTAAGCTGAGAAAAAAAAAAAAACAAGCCACCCTCCCAACAAGGTCTCTTTATTGCTACTCAGTCTAGAAGCAAATTAGACAAGCTTATGCTGTAACCACAGCTGAATTGTGCAAACAAGTTTCTTTTGAGAGAAGTGGAAGTAATGAAATCTAGTTTCCTGTGGATCTGTTTTCCTTGTTCTCTAGATGTGCCCTTCTGACCAGGTGAAAGAGAGCACTTCTGGCTCTCCCACCCCTGCTCCTCGTCAGTCTGTACATGTGCTGTTGTTTGTCCAGCTCGTTGCTCCTCGTCAGTCTGTACATGTGCTGTTTGTCCAGCTCGCTCTTGCTCTGTTCCACCTGCCTCTGATAAAATGCAAGCTCTTCTCTGTCTGTCATCCATCTTTCATACAAAGGTTGCTAGAAGCAGCTGAGATTAATTTGTGTGCAGCATCTATTTATAGATGGATATAAGAGACTACTGGTGTTGGACAGTGAGCTAAGTTGTCAAGGGAAGAGAATGACACACAAGCAAAGAGCGTGCTAATAAACTTTTTTTTTCTTCCCCTTAAACCAGTGTTTTCCTGGTAGCTCAGTTGATCTCTGCATGTTGGGACAATTACTGGTTAGGATGAAGCATTTTTCTTTCACTGCTGTCAGTTCCGTGTCTGCACTGTAGCATTTCCTACTGGCTGCTGCTCCTTTTCCAGCAGTCAGCGTTCTTCCTTAACCACACTGGGGTTGGCTTCCACATCCCTCCCTGGGTTTAAATAGATCCTTAGTCTTCAGGAGGCTGTTAAGTCCTAAACATGTGATTTTGACTTGAAAGGCTGCTGACTACAAATTTCTGGTTTTAATATATCCATTTTATGTATTTTAAAAAAACCAAACAAACACTTCAACCCAATACCTGCTAATTGATAATTTAACGCATCAAACTGAGCTGCATGAAGGAGCGGAGGCTCCAGGAAAACTTCTACTTTGCGTGTTGTATGTTTGAAAAGGGCACATTCTTGGCTTTGGACTGTTAGACCACTGCTCTGGTTATCTGTTTCTCATGATTAAATCAGGCAGGTGATAAAAACCCTGTGTCTGACCTGATGATCATCACCGCTGTGCCACAGAACTGGTGAGCAGTAAAAAGAATGAGGAGAGATTTCTTGATTTTCTTTGAAAATCATAAATGATTAGTCCTCTGGATTGTCTGCAAGGTGGAATGCTGTGCTTCTGTTTCAAATGCTAGTCCCGCAAATTTGTAACAGCATCTTTCTTCTAAAACCATAGAATCACTGTTGGACGTAGTGATAGTAGAGGCCATATGTGAGATCAGAGGGGCATACTATGAACAGTAAATGTCAGCTTCTTCCCCAAAGAGATCAGTAAATAGTCATCATAAACTCCAGTGAAAAGCAAAAGATGAAAAGGATAATCGCTCAATAAAAATCTATTATTAATTTTTTTTATCGAGAGGGTACCCTGACAAGATAAAATATCAGATATACTCTGCTGTACCTCATGATGGCCTTTCACTTGAGGGTTGTCTAAACAGACCTCTAGCACTTTAATAACTCTTTAAAAAGACTAACCTTCAAGAACTTGGCTTTCCCTAGCAAGGAGACTGTATCCCTCTTGCTAGCATTTCTTCTGTACTGAGCCATGTAGGGGTTAAACATACTGGGCTTTGCCAAGCTGTCATTGAGGTTCTGTTAGCGTTGCGTTCCCGTTCTGCTGTTGCACTGGTTTCTGTAGGTGGTGATGTTAGTGCCAATCCATCAGCCTCTTTCATCCATGTGTCTCATACACGGAGATCTTTGCTTCACATGAAGTAAAGAGGACTTTGCTAATAGAAACAGTAAGTATGGAAACCAGGCTACTGCACACATCAGTGTTTTTTCTGACATGTTACTTTCGTATGTTTTTCATCTGTTTTTAAGCTTGGCAGTAAAGAATTTTTGGTGTGACTACGAAGAGGGTTGAGAAGTTGGCTAACAGTGATAGGAGAGTGAAGACAGATTTCTGGGTTAACTGGTGGCTGCTGTGGTCTGCAGCATACCTGAGAGGCAGCTGTGCTGCTTTGCATTATTGGAGCTTTTGGACAGATGAATCATCATCTGGAAGTGTCAACAGCCATTTATTTCTTAATTTGTTTGAGAGAGACAGTTCTGTGACCTTTAGCAATAAACATTTTTCAACCAAAAAAGGCTGTCCTGATGACAGCAAATCTTAACAGCGAGCAGCAAAAGCTTTGAGTCGTGTTTTTGAAATGTTTCCTTTGCTTTGTATTTGAAAAATTGAAATGTGCTGGAACAACTTGCTGTCTGGAATTTTTTTTTTTGCATGCCTGTAGTATAATGCAAATGATCAAAATCTAGCCTTACTTCAAACAAATTTAGTGCTGGGTTCTACATCAGCCACAGTGCTCTGGGAAAGGCTACCTGTCGGTGGGATCAGTCTTGAGCTCTGGTCCCTGTTGTCACCTCCAGCAGCTGTCTTTGCTGACACTTGAATCTTTCTTTGTGGGAATTCCCTTGTTAGGTTGAGTTAGCTTAAAAGAAGCTGCTTTCCAGCATGTGCCATTCGTCACAACAGAGTAAATATTGTGGGGCTATTTTCTACTTTCTCTAACAGTAGTCTCTAGTATCAACATAGCACTCCCAGTAAGACTATGATAGCGTATGCTTTTTTCCCCACAAACTTAGTTGGGATGTCTGTGATATAAGGACTTTCTTCACCTGACCATAAGCATTTCAAAACAATTGTAGGGATTTAATGTGCAGAAGAATATAGTTTATATTGAAAAGGGAAGTACCCATTCAGCAGACTTGGAGAATAAGAACTAACCTGCCCGGTGTTGTGTGTCCCTTCCTGCACGCTACTGAGAACTGCATGCTAAAGACCCACAGATTGACCTCCTCGGATTAACCTCAACTATTTCAGGGTGGTCCAAAATAATGCCTACCGTTCTGGATGAGCAGAAATCAGAATGCAATACATGTGAATTACGACTTTAGAATTCCTGATCATAAAAATGCTTAGCTGTGGCAGTCCTGTGTGGATTTGTGGCTTCAATTCTAATTTCTATAGCTATTCTTTAGTTCTGATCTCAGTTAAATTAAGTCTTTTCATATGCTGGCTTGCAGGGTACTAATTATATCCCTCTGAGCTGCTTGTTACCAGAATGGCCCTAAGTAAACTAAAATGCTTTTTTCATGTATATCAGTTTTCTCCTGGGGACTGTCAGATGTGA